AGAACTCTACACACTTAAATTTGATCAAGATATAAATGGGCTTTGCAAAGCACGTGAAGTTTATTACTTTCTTAAGATAACCAAGTCAGGAGGCGTCACACTACTGATCCCGTGGGGACGTTCTATGGAGCACTGGTCTTAGCAGTCAAGTTGAGGGCAAGAAACTTCCTGAGAGAATGCCAGTCCCTGTACACTTCCTAAACAGACGCCCAGTTACGGTGTCTGATTGACTCAGTACTTTTAAACCAGGAGGATTTAAGGGACAGACAACTGGTCTTAGCAGTCAAGTCGAGGGCAAGAAACTTCCTGAGAGAATGCCAGTCCCTGTACACTTCCTAAACAGACGCCCAGTTATGGTGTCTGATTGATTCAGTACTTTTAAACCAGGAGGATTTAAGGGACAGACAAACTCTAGCAGTGAAGAAACACAACCAATCTCATACAGGGGAGGTGGCAAGTAACTTCTTATTGAATAAATATATCTGGCTTATATACTGAGTAGAGAGAGTTTAATATGAAAAATAGATGAAACAGATTTGGAGAGAGATGGAAAGAGAGTAGAACAGAGGAATCTGGCTTGGAAAGGAAACTCCAGCCTATTTATGGTACACACAATAAGGAAATAGTCCATTCTTGGATATATATCAGAGGTAAAATATGATTTCGTGAGGATTAACATAGTTTTTAGATTATTTTGATCCGAGCAAGGTTTCTCCGATTACTCCACAATTCTCCGGGGCCAGGAGTACCTGTACGCTTCATGACCACTCACCACCTGGTTTCCCTTGGGTGAGTTTCATTCTATTCCTCGGATAGTTCTGTCCATCCTGAGTGTAATTAACATTCTCTCGAGAAGGCCTGTTGTCTAGCCTCCCAACAACATCACTTATGATAGTCTCGAGCAACTGTGCTGAGTATGTACAAGTGATTCCCGATAGTTGGCTTTAATGGATAAGACCTCCCGTGTATGATTTTTAAGATCAAACATCTCCATTTGCCAAGGCTATCCCGGCACGTAGCTTTCCATCATCAGGAAAAGGCTAATAGACTCAAGCCAACTTGAGCCAACTTGAGGCCAACTTGAGTATATTTGCCAACTTGAGGCCAACCTGAGTATATTTGTCAACTTGAGGTTGACATGGGCCAACTTGAGTATATTTGTCAACTTGAGGTTGACCTGGGCCAACTTGAGTAGATTTGCCAACTTGAGGCGAACCTGGGTCAACTTGAGTAGATTTGTTAGCTTGAGATCAACCAGGGTCAACCTCAGTAGATTTGTCAACTTGAGGTTAACTTGAGATTAACTGAAGTCAACTTGAGCTTAACCTGGTATAAGGCATGTACTGAGTTCAACTGTAGAGTAGTAATGCCCAAAGTTGCTATTTAAGTTGAACTTGAATGAGGTTTAGGTTTAAAAAAGATCAATTGTGTAGACAGAGGTCATTAGGTATCTAGACAAATTCTATACAACTGGGGGTAGTGTGGGATGGGACCAGGGTAGGAAAGTGCAAAGACAGGAAGTGAATAAAGGAACATAGAGAGGCTCCCTAGAGACTGTGAATGTGCCCTACATTTAAAATGAGAGAAAACCTGTCCCACTTAGGTGAGTTTTGGTGTTCTTGTCATATCTCCTTCAGTTTTCACTCAATTTCTTCGATGTAGAGCTCGTTTAGATCCCCTAGGGACCCTCTCCCCACCGCTTCAATATTGTTTGAATAGCTCCCCATCTTGGTTACTGTCCCCAGGTTAGTCTCACTTAGGTGATTTTCGCTGTTTTTGCCATAATTCCATCAGTTCTTATTCAATTTCTTTCGTCCAGGGCTCGTTTAGATCCCCTAGGTACCCCCTCACTATCGCCCTACTCACGCCAGAGCAATTCCCAACTTTTTCCATCACTCTCTCGTCATATAGGTGATTTTCAATGTTTTTGCCATAACTCCTTCAATTTTCACTCAATTTTTCCGAGGTAGGGCCCGTTCACATTCGCTTAGGACCCTCTCCATGCTCCTCCACTCACTTCCTGGTCACTTTCCATCTTGTTCATCTCCCCCTGGTCAGTCTCACTTGGGTGATTTTCGCTGTATTTGCCATATTTCCATCAGTTTCCATTCGATTTCTTCTCGTTTAGATCCCCTAGGTACCCCCTCACTATCGCCGTACTCACGCTAGAGCAATTCCCAACTTTTTCCATCACTCTCTCATCATATAGGTGATTTTCAATGTTTTTGCCATAACTCCTTCAATTTTCACTCAATTTTTCCGAGGTAGGGCCCGTTCACATTCGCTTAGGACCCTCTCCATGCTCCTCTACTCAGTTCTTGGTCACTTTCCATCTTGGTCATCTCCCCCTGGTCAGTCTCACTTGGGTGATTTTCGCTGTTTTTGCCATATTTCCCTCAGTTCTCATTCAATTTCTTTCGTCCAGGGCTCGTTTAGATCCCCTAGGTACCCCCTCACTGTCGCTGTACTCACGCTAGAGCAATTCACAACCTTTTCCATCACTCTCTCGTCATATAGGTGATTTTCAATGTTTTTGCCATAACTCCTTCAATTTTCACTCAATTTTTCCGAGGTAGGGCCCATTCACATTCACTTAGGACCCTCTCCATGCTCCTCCACTCACTTCTTGGTCACTTTCCATCTTGGTCATCTCACCCTGGTCAGTCTCATTTAGGTGGTTTTTCCTGTTTTTGCCATATTCCCCTCAGTTTTCATTCCATTTCTTTGTTATAGGGCTTGTCTAGATCCACTAGGTACCCCCTTACTATTGCTGTACTCACCCTAAACTTTGCTATTATCTTATGTTATTATCATTTATTTTGTACTTTGTTTGTATACAAATTACATCATTTGAACACTTAGTTGTTGTGACTTGAATGTTCTTGAAGTAATATGTTGCCTACTCACAGGTGGCTTGAGATTGACTTGGGACTACTCTAGCTGAGTTCAGGCTGACTTGAGACTGACTTGAGTTGCCTTGAAGTTGCTCAAGTTACCCAAGTTGGCTTGAAGTTGGCTTGAAGCTGGTTTGAAGTTGGTTTGAAGTTGGCTTCAGTGGATTGAAATAGATCAACCTTGCATTGAGTGCTGTATGGCCCCCAATGACCATTGGGGGCCATACAGCCCTCAGGCTGGCTGAAGGGTCATCCAGGTTGGCTCAACTCTCCTTGAGTAAAGGGGGTATTTTCCTGATGATGGGACCACTAAGCATGTTTCTACCGTCTTCACGGTTACAACCGGTGCTGCGAATAGACCTCTACAGTTTCCTTGGGATTGTTCTGGTCCATGGTTACGGACTGTAAAGTCCACATCTTAACATAGCTTGTTGGGGGTCTTAGTGCAAGGGATGCCTTCCCTTGAGTAACGCGTTGGCTTAGTACTTATCCTGCTTCGAGATGTCCTGTAGTTTAGAGAGTATAGGCTCTAGGCTACGCTTGTGGGCGTACCTTCACAGCTCGCTGAGTATTATTGTTAAGTTCTTTGCCTCGGCAACAGCTATCATGCTTGGGCTCCGTATAGCTCTCTTATTGCATTGTATAACATGTACAAAATGTCAAAATGTATGGTTACACGCCTTAGGCTGATATTAGGCCTAATAGCGGGTTGTCTTCCTGACGCTCCCAGGGATACTAAAGCAGCTATCAGTATCACGACCTCCTCCTCGATCCATGACTTCCCTCTGAATCGGAGAGCAAAGAAGTCATCTACTCAGTTTAGGAGACACTGAATGCCCCACTTCTTGTGAATTGCGACCAGCATGTCCACCTGTGAGCCAAAGACTCATATGGGAGTTAAGATTATGGGAGCCGTTAGTCTATTCCGATAAAGCGATTTAAAGTGGAGAAAACGGTAGATTGCATCAGCTACAGTGATGGCAATCAAGAAAAAAAATTGTATGCACTTGCTAACGAACCTTTTGGCATGAGGCACACCAGTCTTGGAACAGTCAGGTGGTTAGGCGGGGTTAACTGGAGGTTGAGGATGATCCTGACATAGTGTACTGGTACATCTGTATCCATATCTCAAGCTTATTTAGCAATAATGGAAAACAAAAGCAAGAAAGACATCAAAGGCGCAGGTCTGATTGAAAACTTACCAGTGACAAAATATCTTTGTGGCACAATGGTACCTCCTGCCTTCCCAAAGTTTGGTACTTCATCGACATCCATTGACAACAAAGAAGCATTTCAACTTCTTAATGCTCCCGGGGATACCAAAGGCAGCTGTCAGTATTACAACCTCCTCCCCAATCCATGACTTCCCTGGAAATCAGAGAGAGAAGAAGTCATCTACTCAGTTTAGGAGATGCTGAATTCCCCACTTCTCATTAGTCTATTCCAATAAAGTGTTTTAAAGTGGAGAAAAATACTGGTAGATTGTATCAGCTACAGTAATGGTAAACAAGAAAAGAAATTGTACACACTTGCTAATGAACCCTTTTGGTGTGAGGCACACCAGTCTTGGAATGGTTAGGTGGTTAGGCAGGGTGAACTGGAGGTTCGGCAGGAGGATGATCCTGACAGAGCATACTGGTGAATCTGTATCCATATCCAAAATTTCTTTAGAGATAATGGAGAACAAAAGCATAAAAGACGTCAAAGGCGCATATCTGATTGTAAACTTACCAGGCACGAAATATCTTCATGGCACAACAGTACTTCATTGACATCCTTTGCCACCAGAAAACCATGTTTGGCAGCAATTGGTTGAAATCTTAGAATATCAGTTGAAGTTCAAGAAGTGTGAGTTTGATTGGGCTCTACTTTGCAGGCCCGAGGTCAAAGAGGTGAAAGAGATGTGTGGTATTGAAGATCATGGTAAAAGAGTAGGAAATCACGTGAAATGTATGTTAATGCAAAATCGGGTTTCACTGTATTGTGAGGCTGCTTTAAGTAGTATAAAAGTAGTTGGAGTCACTAGGTAGTACTTCTCCCAAATAAATGCTCACCATGATGTGATTTAGGAAAAAACAAAACAAAACAAAAATGAAGTCATGCCCATGGTCTGACCAGGACTTGAACCTGGCGCGCACGCATGCAATGTATCAATTATACAAGCTATTGTGCATGTTAACCTCTACACCATTGGACCGTGGTTGTAGTTCTTCACGTTAGACATGAAATCAGTTAATGTGATTTAATACCACAATCATATTAGAACTGTAGATAGGTATTAGGTAGTTATAACAGTTAGCCTTTACGTGCATTGCTACCATCCCTGCATTGGCCTCGTAGTTCACCTTCTCTACCGGAGTCGAGCTTGCTGCCTATGCTGGCATAGGGACCGGCAGCTTTCTCTATGGGATCACCCTCAGCTCGCAAATGCCACTGACTGGGCTGTGCAATATCATATTGGGGTCCAGCTTCATTTCAGTCTCTGGAAGCGAAGTGTTACTATGGTTCCTTTTTTGATCATGTGAAACATTGAAAGTCACATACTACTTTCAAGAGTGGTGGGATTAGTTCCCTTGTCCCACCAGAAAGATAGTACGTTGAAACAAGCGCGTACCAGTTTTGGCTTGATGCCTAAACAAATAAGGACAGCCAAGACTACATCAACTCAAGCAAAAGATCCAGATCCACTGCCATGAAACAGGTACGTCAAATGCAACACCTTCAAAGCTTCATCAAAAACTACCAGAACTGGTCCAGCAGTATCAACATCTGCTGAAATGCTCACTAGATTCAATGACAAGGCGATCCTCTATGTAGATACTGCTGGGAAACAGAGAAATGTTTTGTCTTAACGCTCCCGGGGATACCAAAGGTAGCTGTCAGTATCACAACCTCCTCCAGGGCTAGCACACTCAGCCTACCCAAATACCGCTTATCTGTTTCCCAGCAGTTTCTTAAGGTCCTTTCATCATAGAGCCAGCTTCAGTATCTTGAGAGGTGCATGACATGTTTGTTTTAGGACACCTGCGTGGGGGTATCCATGGGATCTCATGTGAGAGCCCCGCCTCTTCTAGCCTCCTCCAGCAGGTGGATAGAATGCCCTGCTTCAAGAGGCAATGTTCTGTCATAAGTCTCCATGGCCAAATCTGGTGAGCATTTCAGCAGACATTGATATACAGCTGGACCACTTTCAAAGCTGCGGTAGTTGATGAAGTGTTGCATACAACATATCTGTTTCACAGCAGTGGGTCTGGATTGTTTACTTGAGTCTTGGCTGTCCTTATGTCACTTGGTCTTTGTGCTGTTCTAACCTTTCTGCAGATCCTTTCATTGTAGACCCAATAATCCCTCTAGCGAGATGACCGGAGATGACGTGTTTGTTTTACTAAGGTCATCTGACTGTTTCCATGTTTATACGAGTGGAAGCTCCCATTGAAGGTGCCGATCCTTGACATCCTTTTATCTGCATGTCCTGAATCAACTTTTTGGATTGTCTCCTCTAATCAGCGAGGCACCGTTTTGTTCATTCAAACACATTAGGTGGACACGGGAGGCTCCTTTAAGTTGTATAGGTACTATTACTGTGGTTAGACATTCAATACATGATATTTCTTGATTTCAATGGAATGACTATGTTGGTTCAATTTGTGCCTAAGACTTTATGTTTAATGAGTCATACCTTTTGTGTTTCTATATTTAATTTCAGTTATAGCTCAGGAACAGCCAGGGCAACCTGAGGACAGCCCCAGGGCAGCCCAGGAAACCCAGGAATTGGGCCCAAACCTGGGTTTCCTTGGTGACTTGGGTCAACCAGAGCCTTTAAGAGACACTGAGGCAGCCTAGGAATCTGGATAATTCCTGGGTTGCCTCAGGATATTCTAGGTTTGCCTGGGCATTATGTACTTTTCCTGATGAATTATGTACAGATACATAGTTATCAGTTATTATCCAGGGTAGGATACATTGCTCCTGAGTCTTCAGAATGGACCTATCATACCAGGGTACAATGTCATAGAAGCTTGAGGTGCCCCTGTCCTAGATACTTTGATACTTCTCCTCTAATTTCGAAGAAATGGGGGTTTTTGATGGGAAAGTTCAAAAGATCAGTACAGACTGATCTCCCAGGGTACATCTAAATACATCTGTGACCAAGAAAGGGTAGAGAGCATATCAGGGTATTAGGGGATGCAAATAATCAGCCTTATCCATTCCAATCTGCATGTTATATCAAGCAATCATTAGACTCAACACTTTTCATTGATTTCCTTTTATGGACATACAGCTTTGGCCTCATCCACTACAATCAAAGGTAATCCAAAAAAAAAAATTGCAATCCAACCCCTTCCCACCACAGGATTGGCTTCATTTGTGGTGAGCAACCTATTCTATGTATAGAGAGGAGACCTGGATGTCTGATACAAGTTATTTTTCTCCAGGAAAGTACAAACAGATTTTGTGCTCAGTTTTGTCATTTCCTAAATAGGCAGTGAAAACAGCTTTGACCTCATCTACTGCAAGAAATTTCTCACTTCTTAATTAGGCAATAAAAACAGCTTTGGCCTCATCCACTGCAAAAGATGTGTCATTCCTCAATTAAGTACTAAAAACAGCTTTGACCTCATCCACTGCACACTTCAGGCAACCACATATTTGGTCTTATTAGTCTACACTTTTGTTACATTGACTTTACTAAAAAGACCCAAAAACCTAGGCAAAACCTGGGCAGCTAGGTCATGACCTTGGGATTTAGGTCATGACCTAGGTCAGGTTGGTCTTTTCCTGGGGTTGGTAGGTCATGGCCTGGGGTGAGATAGGATATGGCCTAGGTGGGGCAGGGCATGGTCTAGGTGAGGGAGGGCATGGTCTAGGAGGAGGAGGGTATAGTCTAGGAGGAGGAGGATATGGTCTAGGAGGAGGAGATATAGTTAGGTTAAGAGGTGTAGGGTGAGAGTGGAGGATGGTGAGATAGAGAATATAAGTAAGAATGAAATATCATAGAATCATGACTTGAAATGTTTAGTAACATATTGGGATTATTTACATATCTGTAGATTATGACAGGATCAAGCTAAGTCACAGTGCCCTGTTCTGGGTTGTCAGGCAAGCATGTGACTTACCTGCCCTAGCTGATTCATGACCTACTTTTTTTAGGTCATGACCTACCTGGCCTAAGTCATGATCCAAGGCAATTTAAAAATTACTAAATTAGGAAATTTTTCCATTTTTGCAGTGGATGAGGTCAAAGATGTGTTTATTACCAAATAAGGCAATTTTCAAACATCTTAACCGGTTTTATGTTTTTTAATAGAGTTAGATACATTTGGAAATTTTTATAAATTACTATATTAGGCAATTTTATTTCAATAGACTTTTATTTCTTAATTAGGCAATTTCAAAAATTTTGCAGTGGATGAGGCCAAAGCTGTTTTCATTGCCTAATTGAGAAGTGACATAACTTTTGCAGTGGATGAGGCCAAAGCTGTTTTTATTACTTAATTGAGAAATCAAAATTTTGTTGCAGTGGATGAGGTCAAAGCTGTTTTCACTACCTAATTGGGAAATGGACAAACTCAACACAAGAACTGTCTGGACTCTGTCCATGAGGACAATCACTTGCAGTAGACATCCAGATCTCTTCTCTATACATAGAACAGGTTGCTCACCACACATGAAGGCAATCCTGTGGTGGGAAGGGGTTGGATTGCAATTTTTTTTTGGATGACCTTTGATTGTAGTGGATGAGGCCAAAGCTGTATGTCCATAAAAGGAAATCAATGAAAAGTGTTGAGTCTAAAGATTGCTTGATATAACATGCAGATTGCAATGGATAAGGCTGATCCTTTTCATCCCTTGATACCCTGATATGTTGTCTACCCTTTCTGGGTCTTAGATATATTTAGATGGCCCCTGGGAGATCACTCTTTATTGATCTTTACACCTTCCCATCAAAAACCCTCATTTTTTCGAAATTAGAGGATAGGTATCAGGGTATCCAGGGCAGGGTGGGCCACAATCCAACCCTTTCCCACCACAGGATTGCCTTCATTTGAGGTAAGCCACCTATTCTATGTATGGAGAATGGGTCTGGATGCCTACTACAAGTTATTGTCCTCATGAACAGAGTCCAGACAGTTTTTTGTGGTGAGTTTGGCCATTTCCCAATTAGGTAGTGAGAACAGCTTTGACCTCATCCACTGCAAAAGTTTGAAATTGCCTAATTAAGAAATAAAACTCTATTGAAATAAAATTGCCTAATATAGTTATTTATTAAAAATGCTATATGTGTCTAACTCTATGAGAAAACATAACGTGTTTGAAAATTGCCTAATTTGGTAATAAAAACAGCTTTGACCTCATCCTCTGCAAGATTTCAAAATTTTCCTATTTTAGTAATAAAACAAAATCTAGGTCATGACCTAAGTTGAGGAGGTTACAACCTTCTCAATCTAGGACATGACCTCCTTGACCTGACCTCCTTGAAGAAGGACATGACCTTCTTGACCTAGGTCATAACCTCCTTGACCTCAGGCATGACCTCCTTGACCTAGGTCATGACCTCCCCAACCTAGGTCATGACCTCTTTAACCTAGAACATGTCTTCCTCAACCTAAGACATGATCTCCTTAATCTAGGACATAACCTCCTTACCTGCAACAATCACCTCCCCAACATAGAACATGACTCCCTCCGTGTTCCACATTCATTTTCTTGACTTTAGGTTTGTCATGTCAACCCAAGCTGGTAACCTCTTGGAACTCAGTGCTCCGGAATATAACCATCTCATCTGCCACCAGACACCTCTCTCATCTCATCCCATTCCCCTCTCCAGCCAGCTCCTACTCCTTCCACAGCATCCCCCACTATCCCCCAGCACCCCCAGCACCTACCCATGCCTTCCAGATATCCCATCTGGCAATGTCCCCCATCCCTCCCATGAGGTCTCCCACCTCTCCCACAAGGTCCCCCACCTTTCCTCCAAGGTCTCCCATCTCTCCCACAAGGTCCCCTATCCCTCCAAGGGCATCCCCTACTCCTCCCTCAGCACCCTCTAGTCCCCCTCTGTCACTCCCAAGGCTGCATCCCCTACTCCTACCCTGGATGTTCCACACCCCTCCCAAGAGGTCCCCCCCCTCTCCCACAAGGTATCATATCCCTCCCAGGGCATACCCTATCCTACCCCTGGTCATGACTGGGTTG